TATTTATGTAGTTGAATAAGGTGAAGGTATACCCGATCTTATACCCGGGTATATTGACATACCCAGACCACCCGGTCTAATATGACTAGATTTTAGCACTTTTGTAGCTATTGCCAAGGATACCCGGTCAGCGTATCCGATCAACCACCACAAATGGAGATGGTCGTTTTAGCTATCTTTCATATTTTTTTATTTTTATTAGTAAAATACTTTCTACTTTGTCTATATTATTCATTACCCCTACTAAGCTATTCTCCCTTAAATCTTGTGTCATAACCTAATGTATGAATCTTTTAAATATGGACGGAGTATATTTTAAATATAATTATTTTTATAGTTCATCAGATTCAGTCAATTTAACTAAATCATCGAGAATTTCATCAATTTGAGTGGATTGAACCGATTTTATCAATTTGTGTGTTACCAAATAAGTTTTAAAACGGATGGGTGGAAAATGGAGGTTAGCCCATAGGCTTTTAATTTTGAAAATTTCCTTTTGTACACGTTTTTATACCCATCAGTACACGCATGTGTCTGTGAGAGTTATTTTTTGTCTGTGAAGCGCAGTCCACAGACAAAAGCTGGCTTGTTTTGTCTGTGGAAAATTTCACAGACAAAACAAGTCAACTTATGTCTGTGGACTGCGCTTCACAGACAAAAAAATACTTTCACAAACACATACGTGTATTGATGGGTATAAAAACGTGTACACCAACAATTCTTCTTTAATTTTTATGGAAAACATTTAAATGTGAAATGATAAAAGTGAAAGAAGTGCATTAAGTATCCAGTTTGTCGGCTGCTGAAGGATGATGCATGTGTAAGCATCATAGGCGGCTTCGAATGGCAATTATTTTACAGCGTTGCTCAAGGACGACTGAGCATACAGTGGCATCATGAATATCGATGATGATGACCATGAATGATCATTACATGCATACATACACATACATGATGATGATTGATGATGTGTTTTGTTTGGGATGGCGTCATGGGAATGATGGTGTGGCAGCCAGGGGTAGATCATTTCATGACCCACCAACAAGTATTTGGATCCTCTCCATTTCTATACGGGCAGAGAACAAAAAGGAGAGGTGAAAAGTGATCGATTTAGTAAAAATATATGTGCACTTGGATTTGCTTCTGTCATGTACCAATTTCGCATGTTTTCAATTAAGCTGGTCTCAATTTAAGAACCGGAAACTGTCAAATAAGTCATCGAACTTTCATAAAAAGGTTAAATAAGTCCTTATATAGGAGACTTTGTCCGGCCGTCGCGATTTGGGGCGGTTCCCGGTGGAATTTTTTGATGAAAATTTTTTGAGCATCTTATTCATCAAGTCTAGTTTATGCATACCAAATTTCAGCTAAAACTTCAATCGGGAACGCATTCAAATTAATTCTTGAAGATAATTGTGCAGTTAAATGTGCAGTTATCTTCAAGAATTAATTTGAATGTGTTCCCGATTGAAGTTTTAGATGAAATTTGGTATGAGTAGACTCGATGAATAAGATGCTCAAAAAATTCCACCGAGAACCGCCCAAAATCGCGACAACCGGACAGAATCTTCTATACAAGGACTTATTTGATCTTTTTAAGAACATATCAAACTTAGATAAATCATATTCCGTATATTAATTTTAGAGATTTTCAATGAAGTTGAAGACATCCTTAAATTGAATTAAATCGCACAAGATGATATTACATGATTAAAGGTTGTCATATTTGAATAAACCAGAAAAGAATAAACTTAAATAGAACATGTCTGACCAATTAGATCGGATGAGGATCCTCTGCTGTGCGGCGGAATACCTTGCCGCAAGGGGGCCGTAGGATCGGGAAGGTCACGCCTCGAGATTCGGACTTCGAAATCTTCGGCCCGTTAAAATATTGATCGAATGACTCTCAAAGGTCGGACAGAGTGTCTTGATCCGAAGTAAGACAAAGACCCCCAATCCAATTAATATTATATCAGACTTAGCATATTAGATTTAAGTGAAAATCATCGAAATTAGAGTAAAAATGTTTGGAAATGTCAAAATATGAACTATATTATTCTTTCCTAAATAAGGGCACATTGTTGTCATTTTAAACATTGTAATTTGTAATTTATTATGAAAAGTAGCAACTTTTTTTTTAACTTTGACAGAATAGGGAAAGAACGTAGCACTCTTATTTGAAAGTTGAAACTCTTGACGGTTTTACTCGTCAATTTCTTTTCTTTCGATGGGAAAGGTGGAACTAAACATTTTTCTACTATTTCAATTAATCTCCTAATCTTGTATACGCACTAAAGTACTGAGTATCAATTCCAATCCAATATTTTTACCAATTTTAATCTCTTAAAGCATGTCGCTTTTTGAAGAAAAAAAGTTCAAAAAAGAATAAAAAATGAATGACGGAAAATATTTACAGCAACTTACAAATGTCAAAATCTATAAACATTTTTTATTTTTGAAGTTATATGTTATAACGTACATTTTTTAAAGTTTTTTCGTTTTAATCTTATACTTTTTACATTTTAGTTTTTTAATAACAGTTTTTTCGTTTCAACTTATTTTAGTTTTTTTTATCGTTCAGCTTATTTCAGTTAGGAAAAATTAAAAATAATAATCACAACTATTGTCGGTCCGCCGATAATAATCCCAACTATTGATTATTTTTTTATAATCCCAACTATATGGACCGTCCGCCGATAATGTTCCATGACCAAATATTACCTCCTATAATAAATGAATTTTAAATAGAAATTAAGCGTAAAAATTAAAAGTTGGGATTATTTATAGGGATTACTTGTTATATCTCTTCTCATACACTTTAGAAACTACAACAATTTTTTTATATGGACCATTATTGGCGGAAGGTTCCTAAAGTTGGGATTATTATGAAATAATTGATAGTTGGAATTATTATAGGCGGACCGCCAATAGTTGAGATTATTACTATCAATTTCTCCAATTTCATCAAATGCAACCTGTTCAAATAATTCTATTGGTAACTCTGAAGTTGATTATATTATGAGTAAAATAGCTAAACAAATTGAACTTCTTGAATTATGGAACATCATATTTAAGATATATCTTATTGACGAAAAAAGAAAAAATTAAGTGAAAATAGCTAAACAAAAGTAATTATACTTTAATTATTTTTATTACTACATCGTTCAACGTGTGATATCAAAACTTACGTGTTAACTAAAATAGTTGATTGATAAAATTAATAAATTGACAATAGAGTTCCTAAACGAGCTCTATAATATCTACATTAAATCTTGATGTATACAAAATTTATACTCACTTAGCACGCATTTGTACAATTGTCTGTGTGCAAACACTTTTGAACCAATATACGGAGTATATATATTGGTTCAAAAGTGTGTGCACACAGACAATTGTTGCACGAGCTGCATGTGTACATAGGCAATCAAATGGTGTATACATTGTTTGTGTGCACACATAAACACGAACAAATGTATATCAAGTGTGTGCAAATTTCACGTACAAATACAATTTTTCATAATATTTATGTTTGTGGTTGGTTTATTAATTATGAACACACATCACAATGATGAAACTAGTAATAAGTAGAGTATTGAACTTGGAGAGGCATGAGTGTTTCGGTTTAATGAATTAATGATGATCGGTGGTATGATGATAGGGGCTAATAAGATTCACAATGATGGTTCGGATCGACGGGCGCCCATCACTATTATCATTCTTAACATTACGTTTTCAGATTTGAATCATTTAATCGCCCAAAAATGTGACCACTTCCCCATTCAATAACACATGCTCCCTCCTCTACGCCATCATTGTTCTTTTAATGAACCAATACTCCCTCATCATACTAATCATAAATAAAGTTGGTGTTGTGCATGGGCTTGGGCTAAGCACGACTAGGTGGTGGACCAGTCCATATGTAGTACAGGGTTGTGGTACAATAGCGGTACAGCCCATTCCCTTGATATAAAGATGGGCCAGGCCCGACAAAACAGACGTTGGAGGGCCGTCAAAAGTTGAGACTACTGGAATGCCCTCCACTTCTCCACTATCCCCAACTTTAGGTCCACTATGCCATCCACGGTTCCCTACATGCAGAGCACAAATTGATTTCTTAATTTATTTTAAATACGATAATTCTATTCACAACCCCTTTTTTTTTATTCACAGCCCTAAATTTGGAACAGTTCGGCCCAAACTGTATTTCTCTACAGGAAAATAGTTGAACCTGGTCCATCTATGGGTGGACTCGGGCCGGATGGCCCGACCCGGAACCGGCCCGGCCCGCCACTGTTCCAGCCCGGCCCGGTCCGGTGGCCTGGTCAGGGACCGGTCCGGGTAGGCCCAACCTGAGGTGGTTCCGGTTCGGGCTCGGGCCCTTTAAAACGTGAACCGGCCCGGCCGGTTCGGGGTCCGGTCCGGGCCATTTTTTTTTTTTTTTTTTTTAAGTTTTTAGATTGTGCTGGGTATTTTGGGCCATTTGAGGTGGTTTGGGGTGGTTTGGGTGTGAGGGGGATATTTAGGAAAAGGCAAAAATATATATATATATACCCGAGGCCCGGCCCGGCCGGACCCAGACCCAGGGGTTACACGGTCCGGTTCCGGGCCCTCCAATCCAGGACCGGAGGCCCGACCGGCCCAGGCCCGGCCCGATCCGAGTCCATCCATAGGTCCAACCCACGGATTACACCTCAAGAGGAAAAACCCAAAAACGGCAGGACAGCCATCACCCCAAAACTCATGGGGACATGGGTTATCCAAATTCCAAAACTTGGTCAAACTGACTTTTATGGTCAATGATTTTAGTTACTCCGTATTATATTTGCATGAAATTCATAAATTCTATATTTTTAAGATAGTACTTTTAACAAAGAATATTTCTATGTAATAAATGTGTAGATTAAACTAGGAACTTCATTGTAGAACGGAGGGGGTATCATTGATCAAACTTGATTATCATTGACGAAGAAAAGCAAATATGAACAAATTTTGTACGATGAAAAGAATAATAAATACAATCATAAGACGCTTATAGGAAAATGCTTGCACAAAATGATATAAAAATAACAGTACACTGATCAGATGTCAATTTTCAGCCGGGGGTTAGCATGTTACAGTTATGTACATGATAAATCAAATACTCCACAATATCAACTATCTTTACTACCTCTAATTAACCATGGAAGTAAGAAAGTTATATTGTCATCCTCGCTAATCATGGTACCATGGCAAAGAAGGGGCTGGGCCTTTTGATGGTTCGTTTGAGGATTGCGCATTTCAAGTTACGATGTTTCATTAGACCGTCTCCCCTATGGATCGCCAATTTCTTTGTTCAGAACTTTCCCTCTTTGTAACACTCAAGGGACGATGTAAAACCCAGTTTGGTCACAAAACTAGTAGCAACCTTTCACATCAACCTGCACTAGATGAGTACGGAGAACTTCATGTGATTAAAAATGAATCACAGACATGCCTACTATCAGAGAGAAAACAAACGACATTTTGGTGACAAACAGTTCTATATCACGTATACTATTATGGGAATTCCAAAACGCAACTCCTATGCGGCACGAAAGTGAATGTAAAAAACGCGAAGAAAAATATACTAGAGGCACGACAGCGAAAATGAAAGCTTTTTACGCAAGCCCAGAGTCCCAGACCTTATGCGGTAAGAAAGATAGCACAGCTAGTCGGACTAGAGAGCAGCACTTCATGCGGTTTCAGGTCTTTGCATTAGGGGAAGTCAAAATATTGCTAGGACCTTTTCCAAATTGAGTCTTTGAATTTCCACCTTGTCCAGATGAGCTCTTTGGATTGTTTGTCTTTGTAGCTGACCTCTTGATCTGCAAGCAGTGACAACAAACAGATAAACATTGATCATGAATAAAGATGTTTCAGATTGACATTTATCAAAGTATCCCTTGAAAAATAACAAGTATAAAAAAAATCAAGGACAAATGCCGTCTCTAGTACTCCAACTAAAAAACTTCACATGGGTTTCTCATACTTTTGTTATGTCTATCATTTCAAAAGAATAGGTTGAGAAGAGGGACTGAAACTTACTGCAGCCAGACGTTCTCTATGAATGTCAGTTGTTAGCTGCAAGCCAAAAGACATCATGAGGTAAAGAAAAAACAGTTTGAGAATACGAGGCAGAAACTAAGGGCATTAAAGTAAGTCAAAAACATTCTTACAGGTTTCTTGTATGTTCTAATCTCATCCCCACAAAATCCAGGAAGGGAAATATTCCAGTTCCTTTCTGAATAAAAACATGAATGAAGGCATGAAGCATTACGCATTGGCCAATGTAAATGTAACCAATGATACAACTTCTAATGTGATACAATGAAACTCACCAGCATGTAGAAGGATGTCCTTAGCTTCCAGTGTAGAGGATTTGCGGTGTTTTGCCAATGAGCAACCAAATGTTGTAAGCTGTTTGAACAAATGTGTGGGGAAAGATAAAGTGAAAGCACACCATATCAATCAGCAAGTGAGAAAAGCAGAAGAAACAAGAATAGGCGTCGAGATTTAAATATAATGCAATGCTTAATATACTTCAAGTATCAATTGAATCTTGGTTTAAGATGCAACTGTAAATATGCAAGTTGGCAAAGTTGAAATATAGAAATATAGTCAGCAATCATTCGACAAGGTTTATCCATTTATCTTCTTCGTATGAAATCATAATTTAAGACCAACATATAATTTACTAACAAAATATAAAGCATCAAAGGATAAGCAGAATATTCTCTACATGAAGAGTATGACACATCATACGGACATAAAGTACTTCATTTGTATATGGGTTCCTGATTCGAAATGCTATGAATTTACAAACACTTTTACTGAAATGCCCAATTGGCATGCACATGACAGGTTACACCACTATTATAGTCAATACTGCAAAGAACCAAATTTATAGAATCACAAAAAATAAACACAAACTTCGTCTGAGATTCAAATAATCTGCCATTGTACATAAAACTTACAGATTCCACAAATTCTTCTGCAATATCTACAAGGATGTCTTCAACTTCAGGATCTAGCTTTTCTGATGGGTCAATCTATCAATGACAGTGTCAGTCAAATGTATGGACCACATTTAAGGAATGAAAACCATAAAATGTTTAGGAAAAAGTAAAGATCCAAAGGCATGAAGTCAAGAGCAAACAAAAAATTATTACTTATCGATGCATCATTTGATTATCAAAAACACTGAAAGTTAACATGAGTATGGTAAATTGAGCAAATTACTTATCGAACCCTTAATGCCAATAATAATTGATCGTGTGGATTTTCGGATACACATTTCTACTAGAAACGATTTTATCCTCTAAAAGCTCCTTATCATCCGAACTATACAAGCACGACTACCAAATCCTCCCCTTTCACGGAAGAGCGTCACATAGAGTGATTTTCTCTCAATTAGTTAATTATTACACAATGTTACTCACACCCAATCTTACCAAAAAATGTGTATAGCCATATACCAAGGATACTAGGATATTGTAAAATATTTTAAAAAATATTGTGCTTACAATAAACAGGTTTATAGCCTTCTCCGTGAAGACTCCAATAAACTCTTCAAATATAAGACTAACAGAGTATTTAAATTTAAGAAGTGAGTTATATAAAATATATGACTATTAGAAATCTTGAATCATAACAACTAGAGAGTGATGCTCTGTTTTTCCCTTCCATTCTGTCTTTATATTGCACAAAACATACCATTATACAGCTGTCTTTAATGTTTCATTTCTGTTCATATTATAATCTCACAATTTATGGTCTATATTTTCCTGCTCGATCCTAGAGTAAACCATGACTAAGGAAAAGCACTATTTCAACATATTTCCCAATTGTAGCAATCTTGAACTGCTAGAGCATTATTCATGTAAACTTGCAATACTTATAAGATTCCTAAACCATTATTCAACATTAGTAATCTCAGTTTAAGGGCACCTGTAACTGTAACAATAGTAATCTCAGTTTAAACAATGAGAATAATAGGGCAGTATGTAGCCTTCACCAGGAAAGACACAATTCTTAGGCAAAAGAAATATTGAAAAATGAAGGCAAAAGAAGCAAAATAGCTTACTAAACTGTCTGCGCTTCTTTGTTATGAAGCAGCAGTCAGTCCATGCAATTTTGGACGCGATTTTCACTATGGGTCATCCGGAAACAGTCTCTCTGTGCTTTAGTACATGGGTAAGACTGCGTACATCTGACCCCCCCTACCCCACCGTAGGTGGGAGCCTTTGTGGCACTGGGGTAAATGAAAATGAAATGATGAAATGAAGGCAGAAGAAGCAAAATGTGTGTATATCACCTGGGTCACCAGCCCTCGGATGCTTCTCTTGCTCAGAATCCTATCACACGCCTCCTCAGTCTCTGTAGTGGCAATGTTATTCAGAGGTCCAGATTGGACGGCAGCAGAGTGCAGCACTGCATGTGATGAAGGTCTTTGGACTCCAAATCCATGACTCCTTGGAGCATTTGGTTGTGGATTAGAAATGGGTTGTTGAATCCTTAAAGATTGACCCTGGCCCATATTCTCTTGAGACTGACTAGTGTTCGAAGCCGATGCTTGCTGGGAAGAAGATGAGAAGTGTTGCTGCTGACTTGGACGAATATGAGAACGTTGCTGTAAAGACTGTGAGCTCTGTTGAGGCCTCAGTGAAGGGTGTGGCCGAGGCGGCTTTCCTTGTACTCCTGAAGATGCCCATGCTTGATTCTGGGTCTGTGGACTTTGAGGTGTACTAGAGGGGTTTGGAGATCTCAACATTCCCTGTCCTTGAAAACTCTGCATATAAGAAAAATGGTAACAATAAGCAGGGAAAATTAATTTAAATACCTCAAACTACCGGGATGTGTGAACTAGTACCCCAAACTTTATGTGTGAACTGTGAAATAAACATCCTCAACTTTATATTATATGTAGTATATATATGATTTTAACACCATGGATGTAGATTACTTATCTCACACTGTCACACATGTAAGTTTAGGATGCTAAGTGACACCCCATAATGTTCCAAGTACTTGATTTACGCCCCTAAGCTTACACTTTCATGAATGATCATCAGATCACTTATAATATAACGTTCAAGATATTTATTTCACATGTCAAATTTTGGGGTGCCAAGTTCACAGTCCACATATACCATAGTTTGGGGTATTTGAATTACTTTTCCCTAATATGTTTGTGAAATTGTCTTTAGTGCATTCAAATTATTAACAATACTATAGTATTCTCAGTTCCTTTTACTGGACCATGGCTGTTTCATATAGTCCTGCCATTCCACAACTATATCAACAGCCAAGTCTTCATCACAATTGATGGAAAATTGGAAACTTAATACATAGTGTCAAAGAAATATAACTTACTATTGAAAGCTTTTTGGTAAATGACCTACAGACAACTACTGAAAGCTCTTCTTCAGAAGTCATACCAAACCATTCTTAAATATATGTCAATGTTAAGTTGTTAGATATTATTTGGTAACTACTTGGCAAAGGGTCACGTGGCAAATATGACTGATTACTTGAGAATACTCGATGATATTCAGGTCACGTATTAGTAAAGCTAAAAATGTATTTGCTATAAAGTTCTAATAATATTAGTCCATGATGGGCTACCATATTTCTAAACCCTAATTTTGTAAATTGGAAGATGCCAAGAGAAATCGGCCAAAGTTCACCAAACTTAATTGGTTTCTTCAATTTTTTATTCTGCAGTCTGTCTAACTTGACCTCAACCAAGTTACTCGTCAAGTAAAACTAGTCACTTATGTAACAAAAATCGCCTGAGTAACTCCCTTTTTTGAACCATTCCAACTATGGAGCCTACTCAGCAAGTACTCACTTATGAAATCTATCACACCCGTGTCATCACAAGACACCCCACCTTATTGCAAACTTTTCATCAAAATTATGATTGGACAGGTCACAAGACTCGCAATAGTCATTTCTAAATCAGCAAGAATATAATTTATTTTTGGGCACTTCGGAATAGAGCAACAATGCAACTGATTGATATACAAACAACTAATTTTAAGTGTGGCAGTCATCTAGCTCACCTAATGTGAAGTTGAACTAGTAAGCCACCAAAACAAAAAGATAAATATAAAAGGAGGCAAACGTAAAAAATATAGAACCTACTTGGGAAGAAGGGGACTGGCTATTCATGACAGTATGCTGTCTGAGTGATGTTGTAATAGATCTCACTGGCTGAGGAAGAATCCCAGCTGGCCGCATTGGCATACTAGAACCAAGCGACCCAGTAATTCCTATCCCTTGCATCCCTTGTACCGTCTGTCTCCCCTATAGATTGCAAGCCCAGAAAAACTGTACTGCATCAACATAGGCAGGCATACTCTCTTTCTCACAATAACAATAGGTACACTCAGAAAAAAAAGAAATAACAAGAAACAAACAATATGCACAGATAGACAGCTAACGCTATGCATTGTATGAAGAATTGTCTTTAAATAAATCTAATTGAACAAAACGATCAGCACCTGGACCAGGCTCGAAGTAGGCATAGATTCCGGCACTCCACGACCCAACACACCAAATTGCTGCCCAAAAGAAGGCTGGGTCATAGATGAAAAGGAGGTGAGCGGCGGAGAAGTGCCGGGCTGGTGGGCAGGGACCCCAATCACCAATCCACCCCTGCCAGGCGGCGGCACGGTTAGTGAGGAAGAAGAAGAAGATTGGTGAGTCGTGTGCTGGAAAGACGGGGGTTGTTGCCGGTTAGTAGTGAAGGAGGACGGCGGCTCTAAAGCTGGTCTAGGTTGAGTATTTTGCAAAGTTGGGGCTACGGAAGCAGGAGGTGGGGGACTTATTAGGGTTGAGTTCTCCGAAGATTCTGGCGCTGAAGGAGGAGGAAGTGAATTTCCTGGGCCTGCTGGCGAAAGAAGAGGTGCTGCCGCCGAGGAATAAACGGAGGAAGGTAGCGGAGCAGACGATGATAGTGATGAAGATGGCGGCTGTTGTTCATGCTGCTGTTCCGGCTGCGCCGACAGGTCGCTAGACGCCGGCGGCGGTTGTTGCTCCATTAAATTTCCGGGTGTATCCTCTGCTGACTCCATTCCACTGCTGCTCTCTATTCAGTATCAAACGGGATGGCGACTGTTGCGTTTTTTGCTTTTCTTTTCTTTCCAGTTGACCTTGGGTTTGACCTGAACTGTGATACCCCGTCTCAAATCCGAACTATACGGGCCGAAGAGCAAAGACTTGGGCGGGATGGGGCAACAGTTATATTGGATATTTGGATCAGGGATAAAAGTAGGGGGCGGATATCGGTTTAGGTTCGGTTTTTATAGGTCTTCAATTCGAGTTCGTATACCGTGGGATCGTCCCACGGTGAGCACCATGCTCCACCTCCCAAAACGACATAGTTTTGATCAATTTAAAAAAAGAATCGCGTGAACAGTACACGCGTGAACAGTACGCGCGTGTACAGTAATTTTTTTTTTAATTTTCATCCCATGAATGATGTAACTTGTGCATAATTAGATGTAACTCGTGTTACTGCAAATGTAACTTCAACTAACGACATATGTAACTTGTGTCCTGAATTGTAACTCATGTTTAATGCAAAAAATGAGTCTAATTTTCCAATTGTTTTGCATAAATAGTGCATATGTTTTGTTTTTAATATTAAGTCCATTAAAAATGATTTTTAATAAGAAAATTATTTTTGATTGAATAACAGAGGTTTATTTTATTGTGTAACTCGAGTTGTTTTGTGGTGTAACTTGCAGTATGTCAAATGTAAATAAAATGTAATCAAGATGTAACTTATTGAGAAAAATTGGAATGTAAATCGCGTGTTACAAAATGTAACTTTAACCAAAACAAAATGTAATTCGAATGTATGTGAAATGTAACTCCTTTTTTTCTTTCTGATCCCTAGATTTTTAGAGGGGATAGAACAAATTAAGGACTGGAGTCTCCAGCAACAAAATATCCCCCAAGCAACAATAGATAATTCATGAAACACCTAGAAGAAGCTGGAAAGATGATGGACGATTCCTGACAGAAAGATCAAATAGGCACAGAGTATAGAACATCATGGATTTCATAGTCCTTGAGGGAGATGTGGTCCTTGTAGATGGAGTACCACTTCTGGATTTGAATCTTATCTGCTCAGATCCAGATTGTGCGGCTAGTAGCTTCTTCAGGCCTCCTATGCTTTCTTATCTCTTCAAATAACAAAAATAATGAATACATCGAACAAGAAAAGGAATAGTTGCTCTCCATCGATGCTTTGCTATTGCTAATTTAATCGTTTCTCTGCGTCTCGCAAACCGAAGCTAGCGATAGGAAATAAGACCAAAGCTCTGTATAATTTTTAATTGGCCGGAAACGGTACCGTATGGGATCGGCACACCATGCTCACGGTGGGCCGATCCCACGGTATAATTTGTGCTTCAATTCGGTTCGAAATTGATTCGAAGAATGATTACCAAACATCATTGATACTACCTCAGCCTTATTTTGTACGGAGTATACCTTCATGTGAGTGCAAGTTTCTCATACAAGGAATGAGGCATCAAATTAATACTTGTACCCAAATCAGCTAAGGCATTATCAAAAATCAAACTTTCTATCGAACAAGGGATAGTAAACTTACCTGGATCCTTGAGCTTTTTGGGCATCTCCTTCAACACTACCGCCGAGCACTACCGATTTCGGTTCTCCCCACTTTCTTTTGTTAGAGAGTTCTTTCATAAATTGGCATACATTGGCATTTGTTGCAGCGCATCCATGAATGATAAGTTAATCTGAACCTGTTTAAAAAGGTTTAGAAACTTGTTGCAGACCTCGGTGTCACTCTTCCCCTTCAATCGTTGCGGGAATGGGAGGGGTGGGCTATAAACTTTAACTGCAACGGGCTGTTCTGGGACTGCCGCCACCTCTTTATTCTTCTCTTCTTCATTCTTCTCCTCCGGGTTGGCTTCATTAGGTTCAACTTCTGCGAGCTTCTTCTCCGTGGCAGCAGGTTCAAGATCCCTTCCACTTCTTAGTGTGATAGCATGGACTTGCTCTCTTGAATTATTCTCAGTGTTACTAGGGAGGGATCCCATAGGTCTTCCAGATTGGGTCTTTGCGAGATGACCCATTTGTGTTTCCAGGTTCTGAAGACTTGCAACTGTCATTTGCATAAATTTCTGGAGTGTATCTTCCAGGCTAGACAGTCTCTGTAAAGTCCCCTTCACGTGACACCCTTGAACCTGTTAAGGTACTTGTTGTGGGGCCTGAGGTGTTTGGGTTGATTGTAATTCCTATACTGCTGCTGATTTTCCTGCCCGTAGTTCCCGTACTGCTGCTGATTGTAATAGCCCTGCTTATGAAAGTTCATCGCATCTATTGCTCCACTCCAGGGGCTGCCAAGGTGTGTGCCATCATATAATATTCATGCGGTCAATGGAGGCCCTCACACGTACTACAAGAAGGGTTAATGGGTCTGAAGGCCGTCATGTTCACGCTAGGCACCGAGTGAGAAGTTTCTACCTTCTTCCCTAGATCATCCACACTGGTCATAAGCTTTTGCATCATGCTTGTCAAGGTGTCTACTCGTGCAGAAAGGGCAAAATTATCACTGATCTCGTTAAGGCCTGAAACTATTTGCTGAGGTGAACTCCGTGAGTTGTACCAGGACACATTATTTTAGCAACGATCTTCTCTACTAGTGTTTCGCCATCCTTAGCCGGTAAAGTAGGAAAAGTTCCATTGGCAGAGGCATCTGGCATCATCTTCCCCTCGTTGTTGATCCTGTTGTGGAAGAAGGATAGAATCTCACAGTTACTCATCTTGCCTTGAGGGCAAGCTCTTCTTAGCACCTTAAATCTCTTCCACGCTTCAGCCAATGTCTCCAGTGATCCCTGCTTGAATTCTTGCAACTGCTTCTTCAACTTCAGTGCCTTTGATGTAAGGAAATGCTCTTTGATGAAGGCACTATGCAGCTGGTCCCAAGTCTGGTGGTGGTGGTGAGGGTTGTCCAAGCACCTATGCGCATCATCCCTTAATGAGAAGGGGAAAAGCATCATTCATACCTGATCATCAGCTACTCCAGGTATCTTGAAAGTCTGGCACATCCTCAGGAATCGGGTAATATGTGCCACTGGATCTTCGGTCAGGCCTCCTCCAAACTGATTATTGGACACCATGTTTATCACCATCGCTTGATCTCGTAGAGATTACAGTAATATATTCCCGGCACTTGAATGTTGTCGTACTCTTAAATCTCGGGAGTAAGGAACTTTGCAATGGTCTGTCCCTAGTAGAGCGGGTTATCATGCGGGACATTAGCATTAGCATCAAACGGAGGGGCCTGTTGTCTTGGCTGGAAAGCTGGTCTTTGTTGAGCAGGTTGTGGCTGGGGCTGTACTTGGGGTGGATGGCGGTACTGGTTCTGGAATGGGTTTTGAAATTGTGACTGAGTTTGGAATGGATTTTGAGTGACTAAGGGTGGATTCTGTCTAGGTTGAAACACCGGAATGTTCTGCCTTGCTCCTTGCATCCCATAAGTTTGGTTCTGAAAAGTAGTTTCAGGAGCGGTAGAGGCATTTTGGAAAGTTGGAATAATGAGGGAAAGTTTATTTGTGGTGTGGACCGATTTTGGGAAAGAATGGGGTACGGAAGTTCTGAAAACCAGGAGGGCGTCTTGGTGAAATAGGCGGTGAAGATTGTGGTGACGTATTGATGTAGAAATCAAGATTACCAGAAGTGGTATGAACATCAGACGTCCCTGCAATTCCAGATGATGACGGTTCCATGGCTGAATTCTTCTCACTTTGAGCCTTGGAGTTCTATCTAGTGAACTTCTCAATCTCAGGATTCAGAGGAACAAACGGTACTCCCATCTTCAAACGTGTATGCATAAACAGATCTGACATGCAAAATTAGCGGACAAAAATCCTACATAAAAACTAAAAAGCAAGTCGTTGGGTCTAATTAACCCTTAAATCCGACATTGTCCCTCAGCGCCAAAAACTGATGTGAGTTTTCTCGCACTAAAAATATGTAACAGTATAGGGTATAAGTACGAGTATCGTCTCCACAGGGACGGAAAAGGGGAATTAAGTATTAATTGAATTCAGTGATAAACAGAAAAAAAAAATGCAATTTTGCGAGATTGATTGTTGGAAAATTAAAATGCGAATAAACGATTAAAATAAAGGGTTCTTTCTAACTAATGACGAAGGGAACATGGATTGATTCCGGGGTACTCAGATTTCTGGCAGATAAGGCTCAATCACATGAAAATTATTTAATTGGGCAATGGTAATCAATACTAAGTTCTAACCGCTCTCGCGGCAAAGAGTACAATAATTTATAGAACCAGGTTGATCTCTCATGCGACATGTATCTAAAATTGTAACATCTTACCCGAATCGGCCCCGCCGACCTGAGCGGTGTGTCACGTGGCAGGAATCAAAACAGATTTAACCAAAAGACTTTTAGTTATTTCAACAAAATTAAGTATTTAAATAAAATATCTTTATTCAAACGTCAACTTATTGTTTAATACGTGAAAATATCAAGTCGCCATAAATCCCTTAATATTATACAGCACAAAATATTTCAAGATATGCGGAAGCGTTTACAAAACAAAAATGATCAGATAAGTTTAAAGTCAAACTTGCTTCTTATTTGTTTATTTATAAACAATACACACATGGTATGCACATGAATCCTACGCCTCCTTCCATCCCAGCATCCTTATCTTAACTGAATCTACTTCAACCTACAGGTAGGAAAAACAAACAACTACCCCCTTAGCAATGTGCTGAGTGGTACGGTACAAATAATAATAACAATAATCATAACAATGATAATAATAATCACATATTAAATCAAATAGCAACATGACATAATTAGCATCTTGTCAAGCATACATATAACATACCTGAGTGAGCCGAATAGCTGTCATGAGAATCAAAATATTCATATACAGATCAGAAGCATATTCAGATGTCATAATTTTCAAATAATTCTTATTCAGAGGTATATTATTAATAAATTCATTTAAGCCTTGTACTCAAGAAACTGGGCCTAGACAGAGGAATACTAACGTCTAACGGTAAGGAATGCGGACATAAAGTCCATACCCACATTACCCAGAAAGGATATGGAAATGTAATCGCCGGAGCTACACATACCAATCCCTAACAGAAGCTAGCTGAACAGAAATGACGAGATCACCGGGGAGACTCGAACCTTAACAGAAGAGTAATGGTGCTCTAAAAAGATTTCAGGA